TATATATATATATCTAATCTGGAGACACTGGTAGTGTCTCGACGCTAAACTACGTAATATTAACTAAAATAATAAAAGTTTAATATTCTATATCCACGACGAGTGTTATTAAATTATTACAATTAGTTTATTGTTAGTTTATTTTTAAAAAGTAATAAATATTACTTTGACTTTGTCACAGCGTGTATACACAGTCCAAAGTATATGCAATTTTCTTTATATCAATACATTGCGTATAAAACAGATATGTACGACGCGGAGGCTTTCAAACTCTGAAAAATTAAATAATTCGCAATTAATCAATTTACTGTTCGGATCGATAAAACAAAACATTATCATCATTATTATTGCAAATAATAATAAAATGAATAATAAAATGTAAATTATGTTTATACTATCTTCAGTAATAACATATAATATAAAATAAGTAAGATACTCGAAATTGCTTTTACTTCTGATATACTGTTAACTGTATACATATCCTTAAACTATTGTCATGTTTAAAATTATTTAACTCTTCTCATATTGTATATACATATTTACATATGCATATTTAGAAAAAGAACAAATGTCTAATTTTAACTTGAAAATAAGGCGTTATAAGATACACTGAAGATGTCGCAGATATCAAACATAAAAAATGGAACATTTCTTAGCACTTCCCACAATAAAAACGACATTATATTAACATCAAATGTATATATTGCAAATTATAAAATTAATTATCAGAATGTGGACCATTATATCGATGATTTCTCCAACTATTGTCCAGGTGTTAAAAATTGTGAATTCACACATGCATTAATAGCATCGATAGCTTATATTTATATTTGGTCAACTAATTGTAAATTGTGTGCGTGCGTGCGTGCGTGTGTGTATGTGGTGTGTGTGTGTGTGTGTGTTGTAATGAGTGCTAGAACTATAATTTTTAATTCGCCCAAAAAACAATTAAAGAAATCATCGATATAATGACGTATTACCTGAATAATTATTTCATTTCATGACTATAGATGTCTATATTGCAGTATAAGTATATTAATTTATGTTATTAACTTGTGTAGCTATAAAAAGTCCATAATTTTAATGAAATCTTACATTTGTAAATCCTTCCAATGATAAATCCATAAACTTCCCCGCAGTAATCGTCAGACGTCTTTGTGATCTCATTATAATAAGTAGTAGAATGCGGCAATCCCGAGGCTTGAGAGTATACCAAACAGATTCATATACGGCATCGCCGATCGTTCTGCTCTAAAATGAGAGACAGGTACATGTGGATGAGATGTCCTCAGCGCGTGTGTTATACTATATTATCAGATAAGCAATCTCCTTATACAAGTCCAATCTTTTTATCAACATTCTAGTAGTAATTTGTTAAACAATTTTATATGGAAAAAGGAAAAACTGACTAATAATTTCGTATACTCACCTTATTACTCAGATATTCACCAGCAAAACAGAAGATAAATGCCTCTAAAGTGATAGCGATGTAAAAAAACATGGTCTTCACTACCATCCTGACTCCTTCATCTGTGCCCATCGACTGCAAGTCAAGAAAACGATCAGGAAGATGGTGCGCTATATAAGGCAGACATCTCAGACACACGGAAAGCAAGCGGATATCTCCCACCGTTGTGCAATTCGTGAGAGTTTTGTGTGAAGATAAAGGAGTTTGAGGATATCCGGTCAGTCTTATAACATTTCTATAGATGAATAAATAACTCGAAGTCATGCTAGTGCATTCACATAGAAATCTTTTAACTTGCTCTCTGCTTGCGGCTAGATAGTGTACATTCATGTTTATCATGTGGTTTGCGCGAGCATGTGAATCTGAAACCACTACCATCTCGAATACCACGAGGTACTCGAAATAAAAATGTATATAAATAAATACTAAAAATAAGAGTCTAAAAATAAATGTCATCATTTCTTTCTGATATTATAGATAAATAAAAGTCCACATTCAATGCGTGTGTCTGTGTAGGTGTTGCATAGATCTTTATACAGAGTGTCCAGTAAAGACCATAACAACGCTTAAGAGTAGATTCCTGAGATTATTTTAAGATAAAGATCCTAATACTCTAAAGTTGAGACTATAATAGTTTTTTAATTATAAACATTAAAATTAGCGAATCATGTCACCTAAAATTCGCGCGTTTAAGTATGGTTGTCATTTTGCATTGTACTGACCATACCGCACATATGTTAAACGCGCGAACTTTAGACGATATAATTCGTCGACTTTAAATGCTTATAATTCATAAACTATTACAGCTTCAACATTTTAGTACAGGGATTTACGTCTCAAAATAATCTTAGGAATCTACTCTTAAGTGTTGTTACGGTATTTATGGGACACTTTGTATAATATCTCCACGCACCATAACTTTTATAAAACGGTGCATTAAAAAATTGTCAAATGTGATACTTAAAGAAAATTCAAACAAAAATTTAATTATAAATATCAGTTACTCACAGTTACTATGAGGAATCCGATGCAACATATGATCAAAGTATTCGAGAAAAATTGCAATAAGGCAATGTGAGAAAAAAGATCCTCAATATTCTCCGAGAAAGCGATAATTTTATGATGTTTATTAATCAAACATCTGAATATAGTAGTGGGTAAATTATATTTATTATTCTTAGGGCAAATCTCTTCCACTTTCTGTTGCATAAGATCTATCTGCCCACCAATGTGTAGCATCTATATGTATTAATTATTTTATTATATAACTACTAAACAAAAGTATTCGCTTAAACAACAAATATTGCATATATACAATTTTTATAATACAATTTAAATAATACTAATTTTATAACGTATACATTTATTGATCATCAAATTAGAAAAAAATGCTGCTAAAATCCTAAATCTTAAATTGTTTTGCTTAAAAGCAATATTATCTTAAAATTATTTATCTTAAAATTATTATAGATCGAATAATTTTTATAATTTCATCCTTCATCTAGATAAATTTAAAACGAAATCATGTTTATTTTATCTAAAATATATACTTTTACGTGTAAATTAGCTTATCTAGATGATTTTGAGCTATCTAAGAGAAACACTGCTTAACAATTTGTCTTACAAGTAACCGCAAAAAATGCACACGTTTGTATATGTACGCGGTTTATAATAAAAAGAAAACAGATGGCCAAGCTGACCGTTTCAAACTTCTTTTAGGTACTACAACATCTTTAAAATAAATGGAAACGCCAAGTGGCCCGCAGTAAGGCATCAGAACGAAACAAAGCGTAGTTGCAAGTTGTCTTGTTCACCTCACTATTATATACGAGCAGAAACGTGAAACAACTGAAAGCGAATCCCACCCCTGCGCAGAGCTCAACATAAAAGCCGATGTTCGCATGCGTGAGGATCGTAGATCGAAAGCGCGAACGAATTACAGCGACACCGATGGATTTATGTAAAAGAGGGGATAAGGTTGAGATCTGCGGCCATCGATCACTGTATGGATCGAGAATCTGTCGATTCGGAACGTCTCACGCATGCTACCACTTACGCTTACGTTTTGTATCGTATCATGCGCTTTAACTTCTATTCTCTCCTCGCGTGCAATTTACTTTTCCTTCAGTGTTTTCCTTAAATTCTTGCGTCGTGCATTTATTACGATTTAAGTAACGAATAGAATAATGTTTTTATTTCTTTGAAAACTTGTAATTAGTTGAAATTAATAAATAAAATTTTCTTAATTGTTTGTTTGGTATAACTAATACTTCTGTCATCTTTTGAAGAAATAAGAACACTGGTTTATTTAAGTACTAATTAATTTCACTTATATTTCCGATATAATCTTTTTTCATCTTTTAGAATTGTGATTCTTGAACTTCTTTTCTTCTTCACTGATATTAATCAGAAAAAACACGATTTTGAATATATAGTTTCCTTGTAAATCGTCTCATACACACACGCACACGCACAACACACACGCACGCACGCACATACAGACGTATAATTATTACACGTGCATAATATTTATTGTAATTGCTTATTATTATGATCTTCGCCTATATAACTCTCCAAAAAGGATATATTTTTATTTAATAAAGTGTTTTTATTTTACAGCGAGGATAAGAGAAATTACTTCTTATTATTATAATGAATTACTTCTAAATATTATAGAAATTAATCATACATTATAAAGTTATAGAAACGGTATACCAGTATTCATAGTTGGTCTTTATTTTAAGACTGTTTTAAATAATGCCTTAAGATTAATATGACGCTACGTTTGATTTATAACATCAAGACGGTTTTAAATAAAAATCGACTATGAATATCGATCATAAGTATTGCAATGTATCAAAACGTAAGTAGGAAAATTGTAAGCGTTGTTGATTGCACTCACCAAAGTAACCATAAATGCGTCCAGCATACCTATGGCGGAGGCAACTGCCATTAAGTGAACGAATTGCACGCACTCCACGATCTCGTAGATTGGGGAATTGCAAAATTCGAACGGCAACTCCATTTTTATCAACAATTCTCGACAACTACCGTTGGTCTGTTTGCGAAAGTTAATAGACGCGGTACTGTAAAGCAACACCGCTGTAGAGTAAACACCGATGGTCACTTTTGAGCAGCGATGCGCAAGGACCGCCTTGTCGATCATAGCGTACATGTTAGAATACTCGCTCCAGTCGTTGGACATCGCCGTTAGAATATCAATGAATAATCTGCAATGTAATACCTTGCAACACGTTGCAATACTGCCTGATCTATATTCACGACGTAACGCAACAAATATATACTTCCATTAGCTCGTGAAAACAAGAAAATCATAAACTGTGAAATCTCGATTGCCGAGATAATTTTCTCGCCTCTCTTCATCAAAAAAAGAATTTTCTAACTGTAAAATATCTTTGAATTGCTGCACCATATTATCAACATAATAAAAAAGTTAAATAATATTATATTTTGTGTTATAAAATATAATGTTTTAACTTTTTTATAGACGTTATATTTAAATTGCTAGATTTTAAGGGCAGTATTCGTAGTCCGTTCTTATTTTAAGACCGTCTTAATTTAAGTAATGTCTTGATTGAAGATGCTAATACGGCTTCCTGATTGATTCATGACACCTTAAGACTGTACTTCAGAGTTAAGACGATCTTAAATATAAGATCCGTCTATGAATACCGGCCTAAGACAACCTTATTGCTTGGCAATCGATGCATTTTTTTCGCGCGAATCATTATTATCTTTAATTCTCGTAGAATCAACCTGAGAATATAACGTTTTATAAAATTAATATGTTATAGGAAACACATACCGGTTATTAACCCACAGGACAACCAGCTTGAAGAAAAGAAGATTGTACGGCAAAGTAGTGCTTAAACCATCTATCAAATTCGGCAGTTCCTTGATACTAAAGTGTATCAGAAGATAATGATACTGGAAGATCAGTCCTATTCCCATCACCAATGTCCAAAGCAATCTGAAGAAAATCGAGGAATTCGGCCATATTCCAGTAAGACGGAGGCCGATTTCGACCGGTCGACTGATAGTGCTAGTCGGTATCATCTCGCATAAAAATCCACGTTTTTTTATCTCTTTGTTGACGAAGCCGGACAAAACGAGCGTAAGTTCCTGACGAGACTTTCGTATGTTCGCTGCACGTACTTCTCAGAGAATAAGCTTCAAGATATTAACATGAAGATTGAATGCGACCCCACCTTAAAGGCCGCCAACCAATCGCGAACGTTAAACGTGTATTTTCGTCACGTGCTTAGGAATGCAGAAAAAAAGTTACTACGATCGAACGATGATTGCAGACCTCGACGGATAAAGAATCGACGAGAGCTATTTCATCGTTTCCCGAACAGAAAAATCGCCTGTCGCCGTTATTGCAGGTGATTTACTTTAAATATGCAAGGAAATATTATAGGGAAGAAGTTACAACGCGCCAGTGTAAGAGCAAAAATCACCAGAGTGACTATCATCAATAGAAGTTTCTGAGGAAAGTACCGAACATAAGTTTTCGATCATGGTACTAAATTTTCGCGAATGATGGGTTGATATACATAAGGAAATGCAACAGGCAAAAAATAATTCAACTTTGTATGTAATTTTCGTTCAGATGTATACGACTTAGAGTCGGGAGTCTAAGACCGCCAATAATACTTCACTACATATAAGCTGATATGTATACATTGTTACGGATCCACATCCATTTTGGACAAGAGAATTTATATAAGTATTTTAATAGAACTTTGTACTATGCAAATAATAAATACGGCAAGGTAAATGTTGCTTTATGTATTTTTAAATTACAATGATATTTATACATATATATCCTTATACGTCTTGTTCTCGAAGTTTATAAAAAGTATGAAAGGACAAGTGAGTAAAAAACATAGGAAAATAAAATATTCACGTAGCACATAATAACTTAAAATTAAATAATAGACGTATATAATATGCAAACATATATATATGTTTATATAGACTTCGCAATTGATATCCTTTTGTTGATCAAGACATTGCAAGTAGCACCGACACGTAAGAGGCAGAAGCTTTCAAGATCTGAAATATATAGAATCATTTTATATTAGAAAACAACAATCCACACTTCCACAGAAGACAGCATTTTTATATCTTACAGATGCAAAAACTTCCAACGATAAATCATTAAATTTTCCAATTGTTAATGTCAGTCGTTTTTGTGATCTCAATATTAAAATCAATAAATTTCTACTTTCGCTGGGTTTTGCATCGTACCAAAGAGCCTCGTAAGCTGCGTTTGCGACTGATTTGCTCTGCAAAAATAAAAAAGAAAGCTACCAATATTTAAGATCGTGCTGTTCACAAGATAAAATATTTAATCAAGTCGTTATAGATTGTGAAAAATATCTGCTCTCTGAAAATTATGTTATTTTACTGAAATGTTAATACAATAAAAATTATCTGCATAGTTAAAATCTATTTATATGTATATCACTAATTTTTATAGCAAAGTATTTAATTTAAACCTTATTGCTAAGATATTCTCCAGCAAAGCAAAAGATGAACGCCTCCAAAGTAATAGCGATGTAAAAGAATAAAGATTTCAACAACATATCGAATCCTTTGTTACCTTCAATCGACTAAAACGTTGAAAAAAAGGTTTTATTATATTATATGTACATATTGAATATTTATAATTTGTTTTTAAATATATTGTTAATTTAACACTTTTTTATTTAATCTTTTATATATGTATATATATGTTACTTGTTTGACGCGAAATATTTAATAGACTTACTATCAAGATGACAAATGCTATGCAACATATGACAAGCGTGTTTGTAAAAAACTGCATTAATGCAATATATGAGAAAAGATTTTCGATATTATCTGAGAACGCAATGACATTTTGATGCTTGCGGATAACAGCACTCTTCGCTTCCTTATATTTATATTCATAGTCTTTTGAGAAAAGTTCGAACAACCCTTGACACACAATATCTATCTGCCCGCTTATATGAAATATCTAAAAGTCCAAGATGTCACATTATGAAGACGAACAGAACGTTTTCCTACTATCGTGCGTAAGTTCGATTTTGCACACGCATTTGCGTGTGCAAAATCGAACTGTGAGCACGATAGTAGGAAAAATAGTATACGATACTCGTGCGCTGCGTAGATGTTCCCACACTCGCTTTTTTGTCACCCTCGCTTCGCTCGGGCGACAAACTTCGCTCGTGTGGGAAACACCTACTTTGCGCACTTGTATCGTAATGTACTATTGTAGATACAAATAGCTAGCAAATTTTCGCAATAATACTACCCCCAATCACAGTTTATAAATCAATCTATAAATCCTGAATATTTAGATAAAATAATTTAGACTTTCAAAATCAACTTACGTATGTAAACTTATTAATTTAAAAAATCATCACATTTACATGCTACGAATGATATTTAGTATTCGTCTTAAAACTAAGTCAGAAACTTACCAATGTTATAATCAGTGCATCCAGCATCCCAATTACCGAAGCGTTGCTCAATAATTGTACAAATTGAATGAACATGACGATTTCGTAAACAGGAAAAAATTCATGAACAAAAGGGAATTCCATCTTAAGAAAGAGCTCTCCTTTGCCGGATTCACTTTTAATGCTGTTAAATTCCATTATAACGGAAACATAAACCACAACGGCAATCGAGTATACTCCGATAATCAACATCGAGCAACGATGAGAAAGAGTTGCTTTATTCGTCATAATGCGTACATCGAAAGCGACGGCATCGCAGTTGTGCCAATCTCGTGACATCGATGTCAAAATATCGTTAAATAATCTGAAAAAATTGTTACTATCGTATATCATGTAACAAAATTAGTTCCGATTAGAGATTACAAAGTAAAAAAATTGTAATTATGTAAATTTTTTTATGTACATATATGTATATAAAAACAAGATAAATAATTCCCAACTACTTTTTCCCCGTCAACTTTCTACCATAAAAAACCATGTTGTACATTGAATAATTGTTTTAAGATACATAAAAATTCAATTTGCATCAAAGTATATAAATGAGTTTCTTACCTTTGATTCTGCCATAGGATAATTAGTTTTAAACAGAGCAAGCTGTAAGGCAGCGTGGTACTGACGCTGTCTACCAGATCAAGAAAGTTAGCAGTTTCGATGCAAGCGACGATATATTTAAATTGAAATGTTTGAGCGAGACCCAAGGAAATTGTCCAAAAAGTCCGATATAAGATGTTGTGAGATCCCGGCCAAATCCCGATAGCCCGCAGCCCGAACTCAACCGAAGGGCTTATAGTTGTTTTAAGACCCATTTTAACTTCCGATTATATAGCAGGACGACCCTGTGTGACGGTGTGTTTGACAGTAAGCTTCTCTTAATACCTCTAATAGCAGTCGAAAAGTTATCACATTGTTACTGATAGTTCGATACGACGTATAAATCTTACCACTTGCCATGCAACGTTGAATAATCCTGAAGGATTCTAGAGGGTTCATCGTCCAAGTATGAACCCAGTGATCGTCGATCGGTCGAAATTATTCATCACACATATACCTAGTATATCGTAAGAGAAGAAGAAAACTACGCGACACTATGATTTCAGGTTTGCCGAAGGGAAAAAATAAATCATAGGTAATAAGTTTTGTACTCTTCCATGTCGAGTGTCCCCTGCAGGTGTGCAATTGCAATATTATTTGCTTTAAAAATGCAAAAGGCACGTTTCGGGTAAGCTTATGCATCATGATGCGCTACAGAGTTATAATCGAAAGTAAGCGTGGAGCAAGGGAGGGAGTCGAATATCTTTGATACAACCGATGCACGAAGCATGACGCAGTGTTCTGTGTTCAGTATTCGAGAGTGAAGATTTTAAGTTGCTTTATATCTAGTGCTGTGTATGCTGTGTTTTAAATAACATTTTTTTACTTTATAACAATTATTAATCAGTAAGTTTATTTTTTCAGAGAGAGAAAGAGAAGTTTTGATTGTGCCTCTTTTTCTTCTCATCTTTTTATTAATCGAAAAATTTATGACTATTCTGAAAACAAAATTAATAAGAAATGAAAAAGTTAATTGCATAAAAAAGTGCTTTTACATAATATTTATGTATAACATTTATATATATGTAATTTTTTTCTACTTTTATTTAAGGTAAACTCAATTCGAGATGTTTACTGCAATGATTTAATTTTTAAGAAAAAGATCCATATTTATATAGGGTTTTAATAATTTTTTGTACATTTTTAATATATGGCGTGTAACATCAACACACATAACGATACTGATACTTTCGGAATTTAAAAAAGGAAAAAAAACGTGATATCAACACATTATTTAACAATTAAATTTCATGCTTTTGTAATTACGGGAAAAAAGTTAGCATAAAATAAATGTTAAGTAACAAGAATATGAATTTTTTTATTAACTGTAAAGATCTTGTTGATTAATAAAAGTTATCAATTAAGTTACGACAGTGATGTTTAAATCGTAATGCTTAAGTATACTTAATGTTCATTTCTTCGCATGAATCTGCTGTCCATTTCTCATCCCACTTACATCAACAAATTCCAAATCGGAATTATTTTATCCTTGTTGCTCACCGAATGTTAAACAAGGATAATAAAGACCAACTGGATGGTTAGTCTTCAAGATCAAAGTTATCATAACAAAATTTTATAAACTATTTCTTTACAATTATTTTCACATATACCTAGATTCACAAGTCGATTTAAAGTCGATTGATTTTTAAAATTGTTTGATTTGATAACTACTAATTTTCTATTAAGCTTCGAAAGAAGATCGACATTTTATCGATGCAGCATTGATAAAACCATTGATCTCCTTAATGCAGCGTTGATAAAATGTCGATCTTCTTCGAAGATCAATAGAAAATGTAGTCGATATCAAATCAAACGGTCTGAAAAATCAATCGATATTGATTTGATTTCGATTTATGAACCAGGATATCTGATAAATTTTCTCAATACTCTAAGAGCTCCAGCAAAATGGCTGACTTATAATCTTAAGACAATGTCTTACGATCAAAGTCTTTTGTCTTAGTAACACACAATATTATCTTGTGACTCAATTAGTCTTAAAAGTGTATATACATATACACCTTTGATGTGACATATATATATCTTTAAAACTTGAGTCGCAATTAAGACAGTTATTGTACGTTACTAAAGACAAAATACTAAGGTCATAAAGATTATAAGTCAGTCATTCTGCTAAAGCCCTAACCGTACAGGTTTTAACTATTACATATTTTTTAACTCATAATTTTTATTCATTTTTAATACTTTTTCTCACAACTCAAACGCAATCAAAATGAATCTGCAATTTTACATCACAGCTAACAGTATCTTTGAGCAGCTGCTTTTAAGCAGTATGTAATATGTAGACACTATTATGAATAGTCACCGTATAATATCGATAAAAATATCGATTGAAGTCAGACACAAATTATTTTGCACTTACCCAATATACAGGATGTTCTGTAAAGATCGTAGCAGCGCTTAAAAGTAGATTCTTGAGATCATTTTGAGATAAAAATTTTAATACCAAAATGTCGAGTGTTTTATAGTTTTTGAATTATAAGCACTTAAAGTTATCAAATCACACCGCGCGCCTAAAATTCGCGCATTCAAATGATACAACGGAAAATCCAATTGCAATTAAGCGCGTGAACTTTAGGCGGTATGATTCGCTAACTTTAAGTGATTATATTTCAAAAATTGTTATACCCTCGACATTTTGGTATTAGAATTATTGTCTCAAAATGATTTCAATAATCTACTGTTACGTCCTGTAGACGCCACGATTATTTTCTTTCGAAAGACTCGACCCCACGTCACGACTACGGTTGGCGTCTGTGAAAGTCGAGTGGAGTCCCCTAATAACGGTTTGAAAAAATTAGAGGAACTGGACAATTTCCTCGAAAACTCATAAACCCCAAACAACCCGGAAAGAATAACAACATTAGTGCAGGGCTGAAAAGCGACAAGATGATGAAATACACCCTAAATGTACTTAAATCACGCAATAATGAATACCCAAGCTGTCGCTCGAGGCTGACCAGCAATTTCATTTTAAGAAAAAAACAGGCGCCACGTCGCGCCAAAAGTCGTAAAAAGCATGGGACAATTTCCCATGCTATCTAGCGTTATCTAAGATCAGACTTGTGACTGACAATGATTACCCTGCACGCAAAATTAGCTGTACATGGTAACCGACTGTTTACCTAGCCATATTTTCCGAGAATAACAGAATTCGTCATTCGCCTGGAGCTATCTAGTCGCTTTAAAGAAAAACGTAAATTATCCTTTTCTTTTTGAAACCCCTCTAACGATGCACTTTAGATCAACAACGATAGGACTTTATAAAAATCGTAAATCTTGCGCGACACTGCAACTAACAACTACATCCTAGACAAAGGACACTACGCCCTTTTTTTCGAGGTATAAATAGAGGTCCCGCGGAAGCGCAGAGCGTCAGTACGAAAGTCAAACTAAGACGGTTCACGTCAGTGAAAAACCACGTAAGTTCGTGTCAGTAAACCCGTTCACGCCAGTTTTAATTTGTACTCGAGTGCATCAAATCATTATTGGGATCAGTCAGTCACTGCTCACTGGATTACTCTCCTGGTCCTCCTGCGCGGACTGTGGGCTTCCTTTCCATCAACCACCAACAGCTACCAGAGGTTTCGTGGACCAAGTAACTACGCTCGGCTAATTAGTAAGTCAGCTTGTTATTCCATACTCCATATATGTCCCCATATGGGACCGTATATATAACCCCTCGGTCTTATTATAGTGAGCGTTCGTAGTTCTTCGAAGAAGACACGGGGACGAGCCCCGCATGTCAGACGGAGTTCACGGGGCCATCAGCCAGATCAAACAGAACCGCCACCGCCGACCAATACTGAATATCTTGATATTTCTTATTCGCCGGTTTCCGCAGATAACACACAACCCCTTGACTTATCCACCCTCTCCATCCCTGACCCTGCAATCCGGGACATTCGAGCCTATTCTCCTCCCTCAATTCAAGAACGATTCCCTCCCTCTCCTTTTCTAAACCAGCTCCCAACTCCTTTTCCACTCCAGTCAGGCCCCTCACAAGTTAAGTGGGAAGAGTTATTTCGATTCTACTCTACCGCCTCTAACGAAGCGGATAGAGTAGTCACCGTATATATTCCAGGAAATTCCACCCCCTATAAGGTTCTGTATAGATACCTAATTCCCTGCACTTTCCTAGCCAGCAGTTCCCAATAGCCCTATCCTCCTATTCTCCTATTCACCCCTATATACACGCACACATATAGTAACAATTTTTTCTGTATTTAATCTAGGTCCATATTTATGTAAATCGCGATACATCACACACACACACACACACACACACACACTCACTCACTCACTCACTCACTCACTCACACCCCGCAACAAATTCGTTAAGGTTAGTAATATTTTTTTTAAGTAACCTTTGACTACACACATAATTTTATATAATTGACTCTGCTCTTTCTCGCCGTCCAACGAAGAAATAGTCTTTGATATCTTTTAGACGTTTTACATGATATTTATTTTGTCATGACTATATATTTTGTAATTTTATTTAATTTATAGTTCATCCAACGTTCAAACATTATGTACTAATTTAAAATTTTGTGATTTCAATTGACTGATAAAGACTCAGTATAGTCGAAACGTTCCGTTTGGTATCTTTATGTAACATCGAATATTAATTTGTGAAAGTAATGTGAAACATTATACTATTTTAAATTAAGATTTTTCTTCGCTCGTTTTTTTTTATCTATCTACTTTTTAGTTTTGTAAAGATAATGATTTTCTATTTAGTTGTAACTTAGCTCTAAACTTATTTTATGAATAAAAATCTAAGTTTTTTTTATATTCTACATAAATATTCTTTCTAGCTTCGATTTATTTTAAACCACCACTCGTATCCCGTTCCTTTTAATACCTAAAATCGCACGTCGTCCAGTCTCAGGTCAAAAGAATTAAGTTCCTTGACCCAAAAGTAGGACCGACGTTCGCACTGTCCATCGGAACAGATGTCATAGCGTCCTTTCAGGACGTTGACTCATATTCCGGAACCGTAAAAAGTGCGTTCGACTCACAGGTGTTCGCCACCGTGCGTATATCTGTAAGACTGACAATGAGTCTAACTGTCCTTTCATACCCTCTCCATTTTCCTTCATTGTCTCCTTGATCAAATTTTTCAGGATTTGGATGTAACACTACCTTTAAGCATTGTTACGGTCTTTATGAATACCCTGTATGTAATAAAAAAATAGTAATAATATATAATATAAACAATTTAATTATTCTTTTTAAATTGACACATAGGAAAAAATATGTAGATATATATACATATACATATATATATATATATATATATATAATATATATATTCAAACAAAATCTTGAAAATTTAAACATTTTATTATCAATATCGATAATAAATTGGTACATCACGTATTGTCTACATTCAACTTGCATAATTATTATCGTATCATCATAGATATCGACAAGCAAGGACTGATAAAGAGTTTCTATTAATATATTTAGCTACACACGTAATGGGCATCTAAACATATTGGCCCACAATCTTCGAACTTCAATACATCGCGTGTAATAATGATATATATGAAACAGAGGCCTTTAAAATCTAGAAAAATTATATCAAATAATAATATAATGAAAAAATACAAGAAAATAAATTTATAAATAAATAAACTGTGTTAAATATAAAAATTGAATATTTCTATGCAAATGTACATATCTCACAAAGAAGGGACTCAAATGTTTCCCTTCGATTTTAACGAGCTTTTAATACGTTGTTTTATGAAATGATGAAAATAAGAAACACATATTTTTTTATACGTGCTCTATCAGTACATCCTTTAAAAAAGTCGGTTTTTTATTTTGAAGTAAATATTATAGGAATTATAAAAGATAGAAAATAAAGTTTGAAATAAAAGTTGAATAGTTTTTTAAGAGTACTTAATAATCATAATTTAAAACATCTTTTAATTTTTTATTTTTTATAAATAAAAAAATTTTTTTGTTTAAACAATTTTTTAAATT